TTTTTAAGAAAAAAAATTATTTTAAATGTACCTAATTTTTATTTTGAAAATATTTCAAAAACTGCTTGTTTAATTTGTTTTTCAGAAGATTTACTTTAATGTGTAGTTGTTTCTAATGATCTTGCTTAAGAATCACAGTGCTCCTTGAAATTTTCATCAGTTTTGGAAAATGTTTAACAATTATCTGATCAAAGATTACCTCCCTGCCATTCTTTCTGTGCTCTTCCTAAACTTCGAACTCACCATCAGCCTTTATACTGATCCTCATTCGTCCTCTGTGCTCCTTTCTATTTCCCACCCTTTCATTTTCTCCCTGCTGCAGCCTCTTCTGTTCACTAATCCTGGCTTCGATTGTGTTCAGTCTGAGGTGAAACCAGTCGATTGAATTTTTAATTTCAGTTATTATATTTTTCAGCTCAAAAATATCCATTTGATGTCAAAGTCACTATCTGTCTTTTAAATTCTTGAACATGTTAAGCACAGTCCTTTTAAAGTTAGTGTCTGATAAGTTCATTTTGTGGCTCTCCTGAGGGTGTGCTTCTATTATCTACTTTTTCCTTTTTCTTTTCCACTGAGTTTCCCATCCCCCCTCCCCTGCACCTTCACACCTTTGGATCCAGCCCCCCACCTTTTTTAGCCTGTTTATTTTTGATTGAACAATGAACACTGGTTTTTAAAAATTGTGGAGAACAACTTGAAGTTCTGGATAGAGTTGTCTTCTCCCAAGAGGATTTCTTCTTGTTTCTCTTAGTGTGTAGGCCATGGGCACAATGTTCGCAGACCACCGTACATCAACCAGAGACTGAGGTGATTGGGCCAAACCCCCTGGCTGACTGTTGTTCCCAGGGCACGCTCCTTTGGGTTCCACCCATAAGCCTGGGTATTTACCGGGTCCTCTTTTTCACTGGCAGCACCTGAATGTGAGCTTCTATCCTCCACATGGTCAATTTGTCTAAAGCTCGTCTCAGCTTCTCACCCTTTTAGCCACTACTTCTGGGATTGCCAATAACCTTGAGAAGAGTAGTTAGGTGCCTCCCTGGGAGTCTGCCTCACTGCAAGCTTTAATCCATAAAGCCTCACTTTTCTTAGAACTCTGTTACCTTCAAAAGATGCTTTAAAAAACTGTTTGGGTCCATTGCTTCTAGTTGTTCTTGCCAGGAGGACTGGCTAGAACGGCCAGTTTGGGAGGAGAATACTTGATTATCTTTTTAAAGATCAAATGAAAACTTCTGGGATTTCACTGATTAACTGTCATACATTTGCAAAGAAGTAGAGGAAATTGATAATAAGTTAATGAAATTTATTTTTTATTATTTTTAATTGAATTTATTGGGTGGCATTAGTTGATAAAATTACATATGTTTTCAGGTATGCAGATCTATAATACATCATCTGTATACTGAATTGTGTACTTACCACCCCAAGTCAAGTCTCTTTCCATCACCATTTATCCCCCCTTTACCCTCTTCTACCAAGTTAATGAAATTTTTTTAAAAAAATAGGCTATTGGTTGAAAATTCTTCCCTTCCTACCTGTGTAAACTTAAAACTAATTGTGCAAGTAATAATAGCTGCATAATATTTATATATTCAGTATGCATCATATAATGCACTTTTATCTTGATTTTCATTCTTCCAGTGGAACCCACCGATGAACAGAAGAACTACCATGACACCTATGACACCACTTTCACCAAAGACAGACACTGCTCCTCCTCTGACCCCTGTCCCACCAGTCCCTCTTACCACCGAGAGACGGGGAGATTCATGATTCTTGTGGAACTTTGTAGCCAGACATAGTTTCTTCCTTCAGGCGTTGATACCACAGCTGAAGATCAAAGATATTATGTCACTGCATGTACCCTTTTCAATATCCTGAATAAAATGACAATGCTTTATTGAAACTTTTAGTATCACTATGTTATTTCCAAGTAGAATGTCATTTTCTATCATTATTAGCATTTTAAAGAGGGATCAGGAAGATAAGCAAAGCAACCTAGGAAACAGGTTATTTTTTGCTTTGCGAAGTCCTGTGCCTCCTCCCTAAGGCAGAGGTTCTGCAACAAAGGAGGAAAGAAACAACAATCTTGGGGATGGGCTTGCAGCCTGCAGCCTCTGACAAACCTGGTGAGGTAGGGGGTGACAGAGGATGGTGTCCCCAGCCTACATTCAAGCCCTGCAAGGGACTACTGGGGTGTTTCCAGCAAGAGAAGTGGATGCTCTGACCCTTTTCATTAGGACAGAAATTGAGAACCCTGGGAAATGCACAAAATTTCCTTTTGTTTTATTTGGGAGGTAAAATGACAAGTTTCTTCCTAATTCATCTATATAGGTATACAAAGCAAAAAAGAACAAGAAAGATTTTACAGGTGTTACTCATTCTTTGTTCCTACAAATATGTGGTCTGTTTTCTAGAATAGAGAATGGTAATCTTTGCACCTCTTAATTAAGAACAATGATCACAATCTGGTTCTCCCGTCTGTTCCTCTCTGGTGGAAAAGTTGCTACATGTCATTCACACGGGACTTTGGGGAAGTTTCCCAAAGCTTTCTTTTTATAACTGGTTGCAACAGGGCCACACCTAAAAGTCAAAGGGAATGGCGTTTGTGCGGGAGAGAACATGCATCTATTTCTTCGAGATCATCTATTTCTCAGAATTGGAAAGGACCTTAAAGGCCATTGAATCAAGTCACCTGGAAGCCCATTAGAAAAGCAGGCAAGATCAGGCTCCACTCTGGACCTACTAAAGCACTGTCTGCATCTAAACGAGGCCCGCAGTGCTTCTCTACAGCAGCTAGACACCTGGCTGACATACAGACATCTGCCCGAGTACCTCTAGCCACCACAGCTCACTCTATGCAAGGCAGCCCTTTCCATAGTCCTCCTTCAGGTTGCTTTGTTCTTGGAAAAGTATTCTCTGCATGGAATTAAAATTTGACCCTAGTCTAACTCTTTGGGCTCACACGGAATAACTCTAGTTTGTCTTCTCAACAATAACCTTCAAATAAAGAAAGATAACATTCTCCAAGTTTCTCCAAGTAAAGATTCTCCACTTTTGTAATCATTCTTTTTGTGACATGGTTTGATTTCTCCTAGTATCCTAGGAAATGTCTGCAAATATTCTCTAGTTTTTACATATGATGCTTTTTAGAACTGCACATACCACAGATATGATCTAGAAAACAACAGAAATGAGATGATTTTCTCCTGCATTCCAGGTCCTATGCCTATAATATGACCTCGGGCTATAACTGTCTTCCTGGGTAACTGCTAAGTTCTTTCCTTAGAACTTAGGGAAAAGTTCTGTGTTCTTTTTGTTGCTGAGAACATGTTTGGTATCTTCTGTGCCTGCCCCCTTGGACTGAAGAGCTGGACCTTACATTCACCTCTGTTATGAGTTATCTTATTAGACTCAGCTCAGCATTCTCACACACACAAAGATTTTTTAAATCTAGATTCTATCATTCAATATATTTGAATTTAGCAGTCCAATACATGGTCCTGGCTTTCTCTGTTCAATCATCTACCCATTCAACAAACAATTTGCACATGTCTCTCTGGGTCCAGGCACTAGGGAAACAGAAGGGACCAGAGAGCCTGGGCCTCCGTCCTCCTGGGCGTCTCACTGCTTTGAAGCAGTGTTCCCTACCCCTGGGAGGATTCTGTGAAAAATAATAAAATATCTGAATATATAGCAGATACCTTAAGGGCTAGGGATCACCTTTTCATGACCAAAGCACGGAGAACCAATAGAGTACTTAGTAAAACAAATATTTACATAGCCACAAAAGGATACAGTTCCATTCATCCTGACAGCTGGGGCCTGGAGGGAAATGTGACCCAGAACTTCCCAGCCCTGGTTCCACTTTAGAATCATCTGGGGACCTCCTATTTATTTACTGATTTATATCAGGGACCTTTTAAAAATATACCAAAGCCCCATTCACCAGTTGGAGTGAAATTTCTGGTTGTGGAAGGAGCTAGAGCATCAACATTTTAAAGATGTCTGGGGTCGTTCTAACGTGCAGCCAGGTTCGAGAACAGCGGCTCCACAGGGCTGCTCAGTGCAGACCTGTGCCCCGCTGACAGCCACAGAGCCTGGCTCAGCCAGCACACCCGCATGAGCACAGCTGGGTGAGGGGTTCTCCAGCTGTGGGGGGCTGGGGACGGGTGGGGGATGGGTGGGGGTGGCAACAGCCATTGCAGGATTCCCTGGCATAGAGTATGCTGGGAGGTCTGCCGAGGTAGGCCTGGGCACAGGCCTCCTCGGCTTCCTCTGCTAGCAGCAAAGTACTTCTCACACACGTTTGTGTGGGGTAACGGGTTGGAGGTCTTCTGGAATCTCTTTTGAGTGAACTTCCCTTGTGGGAAGTGTGCATTTTCTGGTGCATTTTTATGTGCTCACCAAGCACAGCGCTGGAGCTTTGTGTCTTTCTGGCGTTTGTTAGAAGGAACACAGGAAATGAACAGCAAGTGTTGTTTACCTCCTGAAGCAGAAGAATTTTTACAACTCATACCATCTAGATTTTAAACTCTGAATAACAAAATAATGTCCAAGACAAAGACCAGCACAAAAGATGATGTGATTGGTATAGCTTAGGTTCATTAGAATTTGTCATCTGCCGTATGTTTTTCTCTGACAGTTGTAAGTTCTTAATCAGTTACTGAAAAAAATAAAACTGACACACACAACATTTCCAATGTTTCTTGTCTATAGTACTTGGTTCTGCTTGTCTGAGGGTTCTCTGGTGGTTAGGGATTCACGCATACGTTCACCGTTCACCGAAGGCTCTGGCCTCACCTGCCCCCTGAAGAGCCTTCCCCCGTCCAGCCTTTGTGTAATTATGTGGAAGGAGAGGTGTGTGGTTGGCTGCAAAGCCAGGAGTCAGCGGTTCTCTCAAAACCAATCCTGAAAACAGGTTATCTGACATCACGTACATGAGGTCTCCTGTCTGGAAAACACACAAAACCACAGGATTCTTTACCAGGGCATGTTGTAGGGTGAAGAGAACGCCTTGCTGAGACCTAATGGAATCTCCTGCTCGTCTTAGAACGCTGCGCTGGCGGCAGGTGAGTCTTGAGGGGTCTGGAGGGAAATGTCTAGCCTCCGCTTTATTGATTTATTCAGGGCTTAGTGAACCTTCAGGCATCAGATGCAGCTATTTCTGGTGGATGTGGCAACAACGTGAGATGGTCACTAGAGCGGAGTGGTTCGTTTGCATCTGGGTGGTGGGGTAGATGCAGTGGGGTAGAAAAAGATTTTAAAGTTTTTATATTTTGAATTTTCATACTTTTAAATTTATTTTTAGTGAGTTCTATAATGTACATAATACATATGCAGTACAATACACTCAAAACATTTCAAAATTAAATGATAAATAATATTAATATATTTAAGGGGTACATGCTCAAAATTTTTTTTATTGATGATATGCATGGTACAAAAAGAAAAAAGAAAAAAATGGAGCCCGTGGTAGCAGAAGTCTGTGGGGTAAGCGATCCTGTTGATGAGCCCTCACAGTTTCCAATTCTTTCTCCTTCATGTTCTCGCTAGACAGCTTTGCTGGAGGGAAACAGCAGTGGCAGAATCAGCAAAGTCTGTGGCTGGGGAAGAGTTTTCCTTACATTTCTTTGTTGTTTTCAACTTGAAATAATAAGCACTGGCTGGTGTGGCTCAGTAGATTGAGCACCAGCCTGAGAACCGAAGGATCGCTGGTTCAATTCCCACTCAGGGCACATGCCTGGGTTGTGAGCCAGGTCCCTGGTTGGGGGTACATGAGAGGCAACCACACATTGATGTTTCTCTCCTTCTCTTTCTCCCCACTTCCCCTCTCTCTAAAAATAAATAAATAAATATTTTTCTTTTTTTAAGAAATGATAAGACTACAGTCACAATGTATGTTTTTCCTTGGCTGGACCGCTGCAGGAGTGTGTGGTGAAGAGAAGAGTTGAAGTAGGAGCAGAAACAACCCAATGCCTACAAGACCTGTTTTAAAAATTAGGATTTATTGGATAAAGGGACATTTTGTTCATATTGTTTACTGTCTTCTCTAAAGTCATTCAGCCAAACTTTAAAAAAATTAAAAGTACAGGTAATTTAAACATTCATTGGTTACTTATTTAAACATTTACTGCTTATTAAACCCTATTTTGTAACATGGTAAAGGCCAAATGAGATAATGTGCTGCCTTGTCTGTAAGAATTAGCTTCATTATTGCTCTTTTATTATTATTATTATTATTATCATTTAAAAACTTTATTATCATTATATAGCTCCCCACTTGGCCTAACTTTCTTGAGTTGAGGTGGTTCTCTAGACATGTGAGGTTATTTGGGACCCTGGGAAACCCTCTGTCAGCCAGGCCTGGTTTCACTTCCCACTGACTCTGACCAAACTTGGGGCTTCATTCTCCTCTGACATGGAACTCCTTACTGAGCAGGTCCCTGCTGATGCGGCCGGCTGCACTGGCCAGGTTGCTTTTCCTTCAGAAAGGGCCAGTGTAATTACCAGGCCTGACAGGTCCCCATTATAAAAGGTAATGTCTTTTTTCTTTGTGTCCTTGCCCCCTCGCACAGTGCTCAATAAATTGAGTACTAGGAGAGGCAGTAATTTAAGTCAAAAGAATGACTCCCTAAAGGTAGAATACCAGACAATATCACAGGGAGGGGTGGAGAGGAAATCGTTGGGGTTTACCATTCCTTGGATGGTACTACAGAGTATCAGCTTACTCTGTCTATATAAAGTCTCCCTAGCTGTCCTCCTTCCTCAATATAGGAGCCAGAGTGGTGGGTGGGGGAAGGCTCAGTACTGGCAGAAGGGGTGCTGGTCAGAGGTATGCCGGAGGAAGACCTAAACCTCAGGGGAAAATGAGAGCTGATAGTATCATTGCACATGACAGGAAGTCAGCTCCCAGGTGGAGAGGTGTCCTGGAACCTGGAACTGTACCATGTGCAGAACCAAGGGGCCTGGAGGTCAACTTTTAAGAGCAGTGTGGAGGGCTTAGTCAGCTTGGGCTCCTATAACAAAATACCATGGACTGGGTAGCTATTTCTAGAAAAGTACTGTGTAAATGATACAATAATCACATGTGACCACTATCCTGTTTAACCCCAAGGGGCCAAGTAAGAAACAGGCCAGGGGATCTGGGTCACTCGGAAAGAATCAAATGGGGTCAGCCAGACATTCAAACCCTGACTCTACCACCTACTTTGGTGTGACCTTGGGGAAATGATTAGCCTTTCTAAACCTTCACTTCCTGATCTACAAAATAGCCATAGAATATCCACCCAATGCACATACTCCAGGGACTGAATGAAATAATGTATGTAAAGCACTCTACACAGCGCCTGGACTGTAAAGAGTTTGAGGTGATGGGTAGCCAGGAAACAGTGCAAGGAAGGAAAACAATCTCTGCCTATCATAGATTCTCCAGGCGGAGCCCTGTAAATTAGCCTGGCAAAAGTAGGTCAACAGGAGAAAAGCAAACAGTCTATTAACATGTGCGCCATGCATATACATCTGGGCATACCCGGCGAGGAGCCCCTGGGAGGGGTGGTTGGACTTGGGCTCATACACAAATTTAGGCAAAAACAAAGGAAAAGGGGCTTGGGGCCTCTAGGCCAGGGGAGGTGGGTTATGGGAAGGTGTCCAGGGAAAGATTAGTAAGAGGGTTGTTTAGTGAGGCTAAGTACGCAGACTCAAGCCAGTGCTTCCGTGTTAGTAGGAGTTGTCGGGAGTACTTCTCCTCCTGGCAGGGAGAGGGGCATACTTTTCACAAGTAGAAATTTCCTTTACACAGGGGCACTTATGCACCATTTTCAGAATTTCTCCTGCATCTGCTGGTTCTCAGTGATCTTAGCTCAGAATAATTCAGAAGCCATACTGAAGTATAGAGGGGTAAAGTGGGAGTGTCAGGGGTTTTGCTTCCATATTTAACAGATGAGGAACAAAGGAAATATATTAAAATTTTGGTAACTGTTTAATGCGGGTGATCAGTGTGTCACTGTATTTACTATGTATTTCTGTTTGAAATTTAGCATTAAAAAATGTTAAGCAGAAAAAAAATAATTCAGATGCCAAAGAGGCATATTCTGGGGTGGCATATGCTGATACCCTTCGATGGTCAACGGATACTCACATCAGAGCTCTTCAGGTGGTTCCTGCTTCCCCAGGATGGACCTGCAGGCCTCCCCAGCACCGGGAAGTAAGCCTAGCTGGGGAGCGGTCCTGTGTGTCCTTGCCCTCTCTACCCTGGGTCCCTGACTCACAGGGCTCAGTGGGCCCCTAGTGGCTCCTGGAGGAAGCTGCAGTCACCCGCCCCATTGCTGAGTCCAGGTCCCTGGAAAATGCCTTAAGTGCCTCTGTGGATGACAAATTAAATTATTCACCGCCTTGCTATGGGCTGGGGTGATGCAGGGCAGGAAGCAGCCAGGATGTCGATGGTGTTCATTACTCAGAGCTTGATTTTGGAGGACCGGTATGACTATCCGTTATTTCTGTTTTAGGCATTTTTTGCTTCTGAAAGTTCCATCTTTTGACCAAGACAGCTGAGCAAGGCACTGCACATGTCAGAGTCACCCTGAGTCGCATCCAGTTTATGGATTCTCTCAGCAAATGTTTTATGAGTAACTGCTGTGCGGACCGATGCAGTAGAGACAGAAATCTGCTCCTTTTGTTTAGTCTCTTAAAACAGACTATGAATTCCTTGAGAGCCAGGCCTGTGTTGCATTTTTCTCTGTATCTGTTCAGTGCCCAGAGCATGGCAGTAACAATAAAAGCTCAAAACATGGAGGGCTCCCTGTGTTTCATGCACTATTTAAATGCTTCACATGCACTGCTTCATTCAATTTCATAAAGACCATTAAAATAGCCTTCAGTATTATCTCCATTTTATAGATGAGGAAAATGAAGCATGCAAAGGTGAAATAATTTGCCCCAGGTCACACAGCTATCGAGTGTCACAGTCAGGGTTTCAAACCCAGCCTGCTCTAGTGACCTCTGCGCACCGCTGCTTCCATGGTTCACAGTCAGTGTTCAATAAATAAAGACTGAATGGCCCAAGGCATCATGTGTGTACACACGTACGTGTTTGTTTCTATGAGTAAAAAAAGTGTCACCTGTGTTTTCAGCACCTCGGCATGGCCCGGTGTGTGAGTCTGCTGGTGCTTCTCCACGGAGTCCTCATGATTCAGACGGTGAGTGATGTCGTCGCCATCCACTTCTCGCCCTGCGGGGCTTGTGCAGTGAACTTCAGGGAACAAACACCGAGTCCTGCACCGCTGGGTGCAGGACATCACATCTCTGCTCTTCTGAAAATAAGATGAACTGCGTCCATTCCTGCACCCCCGTTCTTGCACCCTTTTGTAGCCACTCTCTCAAGAAAGGATCTAAATTCATTTTTTAAGTGATTATTTCTTTTACCTCTTTTTTTTAAAGATTTTATTTATTTATTTTTAGAGAGGGGAAGGGAGGGAGAAAGAGAGAGAAACATCAATGTGTGGTTGCCTCTCATGTGGCCCCCACTGGGGATCTGGCCCGCAACCCAGGCATGTACCCTGACTGGGAATTGAACCTGCGATGCTTTGGTTCGCAGCCCACACTCATTCCACTGAGCTACACCAGCCAGGGCGATCTAAATTCATTTTAATAAAACAAGGGTGACTAAAACTTACTTAGGGGTCAGTAAATTTCAGAAATCATGTTTAACTTACTGACTCTACTTCTTAAGGTGGGGAGTCTAACTTGGATAAGGGGGAGGCCCTTCTGCTCAAGAGTATCTCCACAACACATTCTGCCTAGGAGACTATTTAGGTTTAGGTTTATACAGAGGAGAGCCCAAAGGCACGGAGGGAGATGGAAGAGGAGGACAGAGATCTGAGTGTCCAGCTCGGAGGCTCCGACATGCTGCTGTTCTCTTGGGTATGGTGTCTTTTCCCTCTACCTCTCCCTCACAGTGGCCCTCTCCTCTCCCGGCAACCTGTTAGTATCTAGTCATCCCTGACAGGGCCCCTTAAACAGCACTTCCTAACCCTCCCTCTTTGCCCTCACCTAAACTCAGGTCATCCCAGATACACCCATGCTACCTTCTGCGGTTCTGTGTGGCACTTCTAACTAACAGTCCTGAGTGATGCATTGCATCGTTAGTTGTTTGATGTGTATCTTCGCTACTAGAATGTAAGTTCTCAGGACAGGGACTCTGCCTCGTTCAGTGCTATGACCCCGCTGTCTGAATCAAGGCAGGTGCTCAATACATGTGTGAGGCATGAATGTTGAATGAACTTCCCATTTTCGATGATGGTGTGCAAGGGATGTAGTGAGCAAGTGTGAATCCTCTTGTGATGCCTCTGTCTGCCTTCAGTGGAACCTCTCTTGGAAGTGCTGGCCTTTGAAGGCAAGTTAGCATGGCAGGAAGTTGGCACCTCCTGAAACCAGAAGGACTGGACGCACGTCCCCACTGCATCACTCACGAGGTCCATGCCCCCTTGGGCAAGTTGTCAAGTTTCATAATTTGTAAAATGAGCTGTTGTGAGAATCAGATGTGTTAATAAACATGAAAGTGCTCTGTGCACTCCAAACACCTTACAAACATTGCTGTTTGGGGAGAGGAGGGGTTCTGAATGGCATCAATCGAGGCCCACTCAAAGACCAGAGCTCCCAAGTTGGAACTTCAGGTACCTTGCAAGCAGGTAAGTAGGAATTGGGTAACAAAAAAGGGTCTTCTCCGTGTTCTCCAAATCATACCAAATCGGTACCCACTAATTTATAAGGCCTGTCTCAAAGAAAACATCGTAAAAACAAAGGCACCATAAGAGAAAATTTTGGAAGACTGCTTACTACTCAGTGATGCTCTGGTTGGTAACCTTATCTCCATTATCTCCTTTGTCTTTGACAATTTGAGAGTCATGGAGCGAGAGAGGCAGCTTGTACAAAGCTGATAGTAAAGTGATTAAATCCTGTGCATAGAAATCAGGTGTATCTTGTGGGATGCAATTGATTATCGCTTTGTGGATGCAATAAGCTTTGCTCTATTTGTAAATCCATTTTTAGAGTCTATACCTGAGTATAAATGTGTAGTACTTTCAGTTCTCTTCTTAAACTGTTATTAACATCTTGCCATCTTCCTTATTAATTAATGACTTAAATATAATGCTTGACACGTGTTCCTTTTATGTTTGTATAGAAACATGATTATATTCTCCTTTTGCAAATATCCTTTAATGGGCGAAGAATAAAATAAAACACAGATCCCTCTCCTCTTTCTGATAGATACAAAAGTAAGGATTAAGCGATGGAATTGGATAGTTCAGTGTTTGCTATTTCACAGATTCGCTCAGGAATGCTCACTAGTGTCAAGTCTGGGCACTTCATTCCAGTTGTCACATGAAGATTCAACAGACAGTCCTCCAGGGACACCACACAGGGTCTAAGGACACAGTGAGGACCAGGACAGCTCCATGACACTGTCTTCACCTCCTGTGGAGTCACTGTACTCCTCTGAGGATCTATGTGGGTCCGCCACCCCCACATAGACATTTTGCATAAAATTTCAAGCAGACCTTCTAGAAGCCCATGGACTTCTAAGATACAGTACTGCTGCTTTATGGAAAGGCCAACTACTGTCCACTTCCCGACAGGTGAAACGTGGAGAAATTTTACTCCCATTCACACCTCTCTCACTGTCCCAGCCGACCCGTCAGGCACTCTCTTTCCAGCCTCCAGCCAGCATCCTGAGTGGCTACACCAAGTCGGCCTCTTTGCTCTCTGTAATGTCAAAAGTGAAGTATCTTAGTAGCCTGGCAGGTAGAAATTCTGCACAAGAGCTCCCTCATTCAGATTTGTGAGAAAGAGGCAGGAGGGGAGGGAGAAACAAGAAAGGCAGCAGTGGAGAAGGAACATCCATTGATTTCTTTCTTATGATGTTAGATACCAGGGCAATGCCAATATATTAAATATTGATAGCTTCCCCCACTCCTGGAATCCCAATCATCCAGAAAATAGCAGATTTCAGTGTAACTTGCAATTGAATTATCTTTCCAAATCTTTGTTCTTCACACAAACCATCTGAAATATCCACGTCCTTTAGTCATTTATATATAATGAGCATTTTGTATTTATGAAGTAAAAAATAAATTATATCGTATACATAGTAAACATGCCCTGTTCCATTTTCTTTCCTTTTTAAAAATTGTAGCTATTTAGAACTGACATCTTATTCTGTTTTAATCTATGGCACTGAATATGAAACATTTAGAGTATCGAGTTATATATTTCCTCTAGAGAAAAGAGCTGAGTAATTGTGTGTTTTCTTCTTGTTTGTGGTTCTGCTTCATTATCTTCTCCTGCACACACACACAGACATACTCTTTTCTGTTTCTAAATAGCTTCTAGCTACCACTGCATTCTTGGCGAAACAGCTTTTGGGTTCTTGATTGCCTGTGGTTGCAAGTGGAGCCCCTCAGTGAAAATGCAGCTGTAGCCTCATGAATATTAGTGTTGGAAAGGAACTTGGAAGGAATATTTCCAATCTTTTTGCTAACGAGGACTCCTTTTTTTTTCTTGCCATTTAACTACAACCTCCCCCAGAGGTTTGATGTTTAAAGAATCTTGTCTACAAACTGCATTTTGTATCTAATATTTCATTCATTTTCTTCACACTTTGTAATCAAATAATCTCTTACCCAACATGCTCAGTTAGGTTACTGGTCTTAAAGTGTTCCTTAATTGTGTGCCATAAATATCTGTGTCAGTCCCTAGCCAGAGCTTCTGATACCAAAGTTGGAGACCAAATACACAAACACAGAACACATAATGCAACACCACTTCCCCTTCTGCCCCCCACTGTCACAAAGCAAAAGTTGTTCGACTGGACTTCTGCTTAGGATCATTTAGAGCAGGGCAAATGGACTGGCCCTGAGTATCCTTTTGGGGCTGTCACAGTGTCACAGTAGATAGACGGTAAGTACAGAGGCCCTAAGTTACCAATAAAATGCAAATTGTGTTTAGTACGCTCTACTTAAGATAGCCAGGAAGAGTGCAACACTTACTGATGTTTCCAACCAATTTAAAAAATGTCTAAATACCAGTGCGGATCAGAGTCTGTAATCTAGATATAGCATTTGTGATCTCCTATTTTCTTAGAGTGCAGAGACAGATGTTTTTAGACTTCACTTTCAAAGTATGAATGGAGAATTCCAAACCTTGTTTTTGGACTGGAAGAAAATTGGGACCCTAACACAACGTTCTTCTTCCTCTCCAGAAAGGAGTGCTCGGTGTGTCGGATGAAAGCAGCGACAGCAGTCCTGGACACAGGAAAAGCTACTACATATTTCAGCTGTTGGTAAGTGAGTAACATGCTGCCTTCCTAAAAAAATCAAGTTACCTTGAATCAGGGTTTCTCAACAGTGGCACTATTGCTTTTGGGGCTGGATAGCTTTTTGTCATTGGGTTGTCCTATGCATTGTAGGACACTTTGCAGCATCCCTGGGCTGTCCCTTGTAGATGCCCTACCTCCCATGTATGATGATCAGCAGTGTCCCCAGACATAGCCAAATGTCCCCTGGGCATTGCACTTGGTTTAGAACCCCTGCCGTAGATAGTTTATGAAATAAATCCATATTTGAATTGTAGAAACAGTACAATGGTAGTATTTGAGGGACTGGTAAAATTTGAATGTGTCTGAATTCTTCAAACTCTTCTGTACTGAATTCAAAAAAGATTTTTTAAAATATGACATACCTTTGTCATACTAGCAAAATTCAATATTGCATTAAGTTTAAAAGTTATAGAGTTGAAACTAACCACTTGAATTCTAATACCACCCTGAAGAAAATCCTAAGACTAAAACAGCACCCGCCACCCACAAAACAATTACTCATTTAGGGCATAATGGTGAGGATGTTGGAGGCTCTAGCTCCTGCCTGCAGAGGTCAGTGGCTCCCTTCACACAGCCGACAGAACTTGGGCTCAAGAAAACCTTTGACTTGATTCCCACATGCTTGAGGCACTTACCTATTCCAACAGGCATTTGACCTACGATGATAAATAGGTCCTCAGAGACAATGAAGGATAGGAAAATACTAGGCCAAGTTCATTGGTCGTGGGGTGTGTGCAAAATGGCACAGTTGTGCCAAAAATATTTCTTTTTGTTGTTGAAAATATCCTAGCATTGTGTCACACTGATAATAAAGGGAATCAAAGGGCAGAAAATATCTAAGCCATCTTGGCTGTTTAGTCAAAGCACCAGCATGGAAAGGACCGGGGTGGTGGGTGGCAGTGACCAGGATACGCAGGGGCCTAAGGGTACTTGAGGACATTTCTACTTGGCTACGCTGATAGGGGCCCATTCCCATGGCTCATTTCCCTGTGCTCTAAGTTTGCATCTGAGGAGACACTGGCATTCAAAGTGTAGGCAAATCAGGCAAAAGCCAAACCAATCTCCCGGTTTCGCCCAACTTCAGCTACACCTACCTGTCACACGTCCCTCCAACCTTAGGATCCCCTTTATTTTATCTTCTGTAGACATTACATGTGCACAGTGTACCCCCTCCTTCACCCCCTTCCTTGGGCTCTTTCAGGACAAAACTCTGTGAGTTAGCTTGGTGCCACCTGTGTATTCCAGCCAGTAAGTGCTTTTTCTAACTTGGTCTCTGTCCTTCTACTTACAGCCAGTTCACAGATTGAAAAGGAAACCAGAGAATGCTTTTGACAGGAAGGCAGCTGACTTGCTAGCCCTGCGGACTTCCAGTGTTTTTGGAGCGCCTGATATAATTAGACCCACTGTCAACAAGGTGGCAAGCTTCCAGCTTCCACCAGCGCGTGTCATTCCTAGACAAAGCCCGTCCACCCTGACTCCTCCTCCCGTGTGGGGGAGCACAGCTCTGCGGGGTCCTGTCCTTACACTCTCCGCCCAATCCAAGACATTGGAGAACAGTGGAGTGACCTCTGCCCCTGGGAACCTGGGAACCTGCTGCGGCTCGTCAGCCAGGTTTTCCCCGGTACCCCAAGTTTTGACTACTCCAGGTTTCCCCACAAGGGGACCACTTCAGAGCACCATGTTCCCCATCTCGCCCACAACTAAGGAGCCCCGAGGAGACATGTACTAAGGAGCCCCGAGGAGACATGTAAGCTGAAGTGGTAGGTGCGCCCTTCTTTTGGGAGGAGACGCAGACCCACACCTGCCAGGCCCTGGTCGACCAATCGCCCCTGGTGCTGTATACTGTGAACCTGACCATTTTTATTATGGGATTCACCTCAGTCACCACCTCCTCTAGGAATGAAATTCATCCATAAAGAAGCTTTGGAAATCCAGGAAAGGGATGTTGGCACCTGTCCTACAACTCTGAAGCAATTTCTCGCCATCACCTAAAAATAAAACAGCACAACTTCTAAATCATCTCTGAATGTTTTAAGCTTTTTTCAAAAAAAGCAAATTTTGGCCAAAATTTGGAAGCCATAGGAATCTGCCAACTGTTGCCATGTCATTTCTTTTATTTTTGCATTTTCTTCTTGCCATAGGGATCGGAATCTTCTCAAATTGTTTCTACCAAATCTGGAGAGATTCTGATGTAGGCATTTTTCAGACCATTACAATAATCTTAATGTCATTCTTTGGTTTCTAACACTTGAACTGTGTACTCCTGAATGACAGAGATAGCCCAGAATGAAACCAACAGAATAATTCTAAATTGGAACATTCTTAAAGAAAAGGGCTCAGAAAGGGACTGTTTTAGCAACAAAATATTTAAATACACCAGTTTTCTTCACGGTTAAATCAAACAGATTCTCCTCCTAGTGGAAGTAACTGCACTGACAAAGTGTTTTCCGAGAGTGAATTGGTAGAGATGACACGAAAGAGTGAGCAGGTTAGAAACTAAACCCACAGCCGATGAGGCAGACAACTGTTACCGAAGAGCTTCAGCCACTGTTCCGTTTGATGCGAACGACTGACTGACTCCCTCAGAGATTTTAGTGGGACCCTGTGTGCAGCGATTGAAACAAAGAAGATGGCTGACTACAAAAGGGGAGTCAACCTACCCTTCAAATGAAAACTATTTCTGCTTAGACAAGGTTAAAAGGACAAAGCATAGGATTGGATGGGAATATTTCTATGAACTGATCATACCAGTCTTAACACTGGCAGAAAGAAGAATGATGCTAAGCACAGTAAAAATGAGAATTTAGTTATTCAAGCTTAAAACATGATCTGGCAGCATCTGGTGGGCTCAGAGCAGTGCTGTGCTGGCAAGTGTTCCACAACAGGCTCTCCGAGTGAAAGTCACGCCCTGATTTGTGGTCTTCACCATGACATCACCACACACCGAGCTGAGAAGGATGTGCAGCAGCTCACCTCTATACAGTGTTTCCTCCATACAGACAGAGGTAATGGGCATACATGTCCTTAGGAGCACAGATAGTAAGGCAAAGTAAAATAGAAAGTATTGCATTTAGAGTACTTAATACCTTTGTTTTCAATATAATTTATTTAACTGTAAGTTTATATAATTTAGGTTTTGATAACAACCATGTCCAAAAATGGCTCACAAAATCCCTACAGCATTATCAATCAGCGCCAGCACACCACTAGGCATGAGGATTAAATCAGAAGACAAAAGGAAGCAGACATGGCAATCTTGCAGTATCAGAGGGAGTATATTATTGTATTTCTAGGCACAGCACGGAAACATTTAAAAACTTGTCAAATGAAAGGAGGGATAGAAATCCTAGTGATTACAGTTATAAAGTACCACAGGGACTTTTCCCAACTGTACTGCATGTGGGAAAGCACGTGTATGTCTAAAGAATCTAGAAGAAAAAAGGAAAAGGAAATTCTCAAACTGATGGGGCTATCATCACCAAAGCCTGTGCTAGCACAGGATGGAGACGCAGGAGAAAAGGAAGGAAGACAGCAGCTGGACAGACACAGAACAGCCTGAGAGACTGCATGTGGCCCTCATCTGGTTTGGAATCAGTCTTTGTCCCTCGGAGACTTAACCATCACAAAAGCACTTGTAGTAAGAAAGGAAACTTAGAAATGTGAATGGACTTATTTGCCTTATAGATTTGCTGATTTTCAAGGGTGAATTGAGAGGAGAAAAGATTTTCAAAACCAAAGTTGAGCAGCTGGGGAAATGATTACATATAATCTTTTAATTTGAGAAAAAGGTTAGCACTTGAAGGGGGTCAGAATGGGCCACCCCAAAATGCACCACTTTGGCATGAGGATCATTTTGAACTGAAGGCATTTGAGAATCAACAGCTACAGGACGAGTTCTCTGCCTTCCCCCTGTCTGCCTGAAGGCAGGGTGTAACTTTTCCTTCATGGAGGTGGTCCCACCCCACTTTGTGCCCGGAGGAGAAGAGCACTCTTATCACCAGAAACTGAGTTGGCACTGAGTGCGTTTGCATGAACAGACTTTGCTGACCTCTTTAGTTCTCCCATCAATTTCCTAGTCACTTCTCCACACTTTGTTGTCTTTTGAACCCCAAGTCCCCTTTCCTATGTTAAGATAAACCCCCAACTCTACTCACTAAGTTTCACTTTCCTGTGAACTCCTGTGCACATAAAAAGTTAATAAATTTGTATTCCTTTCTTCCTGTTAATCTACCTTTCATCCATTAAATTCACAGACCAGATTCACTAAGCCAAGGAAGGAGAGGAAACGTTTCCTTTTGGGCACATTAAGAGTAGTAACTCAGTGGCCTTTCAAAGTTTGCCTGAAGGCTTTACTGTGCTTACTTGAGGGCAGATGCAGAGCCCATCATTAACATCCATTCTTCTCCCGGGGCAGACATCACTCATCGAGCAGGGTCACCTTTCTGCCACTGAGCAAAATGTGGTCTCATGATGTCAACCCAGTATACCAAGTTGGCACACAAAGTGGAACTTACTAGCCAATCCTGTCTGAGGTAAGCCATCAAAAAGACCTTGAATAAATAAAGATCTATGACAACAAAAACAAACTGAACAAAAATTTCACATGGCTGTAAGAAACACAAAGAAATCATCTCATCGACTACTGCAGAAAGTAATCAGCTGCTTGAAGTCAAACTTATAGCTGCAGGGACTTCAAAACCAAAAAATACTGCTGCATTAATTGCAAAAAAAATTATCTAATACCTAAGGAGTTGGAAAAGATCCTAATGGTTATTTTATCTCCATTAAAGCCAATTGGATGAGCAGGTGGCTAACAGGAGGCTCAGCTTCGTGCTTGTGCCCAACAGGAAACATGTATATTTCAAGCCTTTAAAAAAATTGCCCTCACTGAGATACAGTCAATAGATAATTGGTGAGGCTAATGCAGTAATAATTTACTTTGGGGAGGGCAACAGCAGGCTTACAGTTTGTGAGAAAGTGAAACACAAAGTTTATTCTTGTATTATTATTTATTAATTATTGTATTGTTTTCCATACCAACAACTCTAAACCAACTTCTGCCCCACCCTGTAAGTGCTGGATAGAGGCCTTCCCTATCCATAATTCCTTAATAACAGACATAGAGTTCAGTGCGTTTTGTCTATAACACAACAATCTCCCAAGGTCATTATCTATTCTGATATCCTTTTGACAGTGAGCATAACTTTTTATTCATGTACATATAACCTTCCCCCACAATTTGATATTTTAATCAGTTTGGGCAATTTTAATTATAAGAAGTAGAAAGGATAGAAAATAGAGACCAAAGGCCAAAACTTTCAAGGTTTTAAAAAATGTAATGAATGATAAAGAACCAGATTAGCTGCGTGAAGACTCAATTGTTACGTGAGAGACAGTAGGAAAACTTTCAAAGACAGTAGCTGGCAATAGGTTGGTCTATTTTCATCTAGGGGTATCTCACAAGTCACCTCTACGAATGCTTTCAAATCAATTTGAACAAGAGTAACCTCATTTTAATTTAACTTTTATATTTTTAAAGCTTATTTTTTTATTATTACAGAAAGGGGGAGGGAGTGAGAACAAGAGGGAGAGAAACATTGATGTATGAGAGATCACATGGATTGGTTGCCTCTCACACCCCCCCCCATTGGAGACCTGGCCACAACCCAAGTATGTGCACTGACTGGGAATCGAAACTGCGACCTTTCAGCTCACAGTCTGCACCCAGTCCACTGAACCACACCAGCCAGGGCAAGTAAACTCATTACTCAAGTAAAGAAAACAAGAAAAAATATAAATTACCCTAGGGTAGTAGGCATTATCACACTAACATAAAGCAAATGAAAGAAAGAATGAAGAAAAGCATGGAGAGCTCAACTTAGCAGATTTTTCATAAAAGAAGACTTAAAATAAAATGTCTTTGCCCAAATAAATGTAAATATAGGGAAGCAGTCAAACCAAAGTTCCTCGGTTTGGTAGTGAAGACAGGGACAATTGCGGTTGTCCCAAGCTCTGTGCTTTCAGGGTTCATCATTGTAAAGAAATCCTCTATCAGTTAAGTATAAATCAGAGGGCTTATAAAATGTTGTCAAAGATTCTGCCACATTATTTGAAAATGATTCTTCTAAAAAAATAACAGTATTTCCCTCCCAAATGGCTTATCTGTATTTAACGTGAGCGTGCACGTGCACACACACACACACACACACACACACATGCACACACACACAGTGGAAAGAAAACTTAAAAACTCAAACAGAAGGAAACTCTGGGAACAAATGAAACTAATAAATACTTTTATTTTAAAAATTGGGGCAGGACATACCTCCATTTGCAATGAAAAATGCCTGTTCACTGAGAATTATTCCTCATTATCTTACCCCCAGAGCTGGACTCCCCCTCTCCCTCACCCTTGAAAGTAGTTTTCATCAACATTGATTCTGACTTCAGATGAACTACTACTGAATGAACACCCAGAAGCACAAGAAACTTAACAATATTTTTGGTCCGTCTTCAAAAGATTTTGATTTCTTCCAATTTTATTTTAAGTAACTGCTGCTACTTCAGTGATTATACTTATTGGAGCTTAATTGGAATTACATACTCAGGATAGTATTTTGTAAATTAAGATGATTTAAATATTAGAAAATAAATTAAAAATTCAAGGAGTGCCTAAGTTTATTAAATGGAATTTTAGCCCATAGAAAAAATCTTAACTCAGGAAAGGTA